TGACTTAGTGTCCAGTCAAAAGGGCCATTAAGTATAAGTTATTTGTTTTTAGGCATCATAAAAAAGCATGCAAATATATATTTAACAGAAAATTACACAAAAGTTTCTAACACTAAATATAATATCAATAGTATCAAATCTATCACTTTAACTCTTTTATCCTTCCTAACTTAAACCAGCCAGTTGCTGATGTGTCCTTCCAACAAAAGCTGTCAAGATCAAGATCTCACTGACATTATGTTCCCCTTCAAACAGACAAGCAGCTTCCCACACTCACCTCAGCTGCCTCACAAATTCCTTCCTCAAGTGCATCTTAAATGGCTAATTAGAAGATAGTCCACTTACATAAGGAAGGAGAACATCAAAGAAAAACAAGTGAAAAAAGCAGAAGTTTCCAAAACTGGAGTTCAAATAAATAAATAAATGGGTCTCTGAACAACCATACAAAACCTGGTAGACCACCAAAACTGTCACTATCAGATAAACAGCACTTAAATCTTTCATCTTTGAGCAAGAGATGAAAATCAAGCTCTTGTTTTAGATCTGAAAAAATCCACACGTTTATGTCCATCCGTCCACTGTGAGAAGACAACTCAATGCTTTGAGTCTGAGAGGATGAAGCTGTCTAGAAGCTTTTACTGAAAACTGAAAATAGACAAAACAAGGGAAGTTTACACTAAAACACAAAACTGGACATCTGAGATGTAGAGTGAGGCTTTATGGACTGTCGATGATGTGAATTTGTAATGAGGATTACTTGGATTGTGAAATGCAACCAACTTTAAAAACTGGACTTTGGAGGTGTGGAAAAATATGCTTGAAGGTTTCTTTGAAAAAACTCAAAGCAACCATCCTTAAAAGAATGGAAGCTGCAAGAAAGGTAAAATGTGGACAAATTAAACACTGAAAGAACATAATGTTAGATTTAGTTGTTGGGAATTTGTTGCATGAAGTGTTCTATGAAATATGTTTTCTGCTGGACTTCTGACACTGAAAAATGAATGACATACTTAATGGTCTTATATATAATACAGGACAAATATAAATGTTAATACATATAAATATATTTAATCACTGTCAGGACGAAATCTCATATCTCCAAAAAAGTAGCAGTCTATAAGTTAGTTACAAGATTGTATTCTAACTCATTTTGCACCACGTCTTTTGGTCAGTTCACTGTAAAATTCTGACACAGTGTAAATGGCAGTTGGCACTTTCAAATTATGCACAAAATTAAAGATGACAAAAATGGAGATGCAAGGTTTTGTTCCAGCAGCAACAATATAAAACATGTGGAACACTGGGACCTGACTCTAGGACCTGAAATGATATAAAAACAAACGTGCGTGTGTGTGCTTGAGACTAATGTTGCCATCAGCACTGTAAGAACACTGGCCTCCAAAAATCCTTGATAAGAATCTTTAGTTATACAAGATAAAATATTCAAGGATGATCCCCCAAAGCTATTATTCAAGGAAAATGTTCAAGAAGCGAAACATTAACTTATTATAATGATAACTAACACTTCAAAATGCGACCTACTGAAGTTCTGAATAGCCTCTGTTTAATTCCTTTCAATCAGAAATCTAAACAACACTAAGGTCAAGTAAAGACATTACAGCATATTTCTCTCACTGACTGCAAACAATGCAATTGAACTGGCATTTGTTCCGTCTCGATGCATTTTCTTTTATTTTCTTTGCTGCAGAGTCATCTGTTGGAAAGAGTGTTGCTAATAAACAGCTTGTATCTGCATCTCTCTCATTCTGACTGAAGACCTCTGACACAGAGGAAAAGCTGCCTCTCATATTCAGCAGATTCTTAGCTATGCTAATTAGAGGCAGCTTAGCGCTGGTAATTAGCAGCAATGGTAATCCCGCAGGAATGTTTACTGTTATCTTTCAGTTCTGCCAGAATCTGCATGCAGATAAAACTGTTGTAAGCTTCTTTTCCAGAGAGCAGCATATGTTTGTCAGAATGAAGGAAAATGATTGAAAGAATACTTTTAGGCAAAAAAACAACAACAAAATTAGGAGTACCTCAGTGTATTACATGCCTGAGCTATCAAAGTGTTTTCTCTGCTCAAATAAAATAAACACAGATTTGAAATGCAGACAGTTTTTCTAATTACGTTCATTAATCCTTAAAAGTGTTCTCAGTTATTACTGTCATTTTCTTGCATTATTTAAATGTAATCTTGGAAAACAGTGATTTAGGTCATTTTTTAAAGTTGATGTATATTCTATCTTTACAGATTTGAATCTGTACTTCAGACTTTGTTCTGTTTGATTTGAAAAATTTTTTCTTTTCATTTTTTTTCTTTCTGCAAAACAATTCTGTACCCACAACAGTAACTTTTTATAAGTTAAATCAGAATATCTCTTCTAAATAGATTTTGTCACTTTCAAAACAAAAACCTTACATTTCCTAAACAGTAATATTATTAACTTTCATAGTAAGTTAATATAACAAGATTTTATTCTAAGTCATTTTGGTCCATTTCTACTGGTCAGTTTGTTATGAAATTTTATCACAGTAAAGAATAAAACAGAGCTTAAAATCAAAAGATGCAGTTTTGGTACTTCAGATTTGGTATTAGGAGCAAAGGGGTCTAGTTTCTCACAAAGCAGCTTGCTCTGAATTTTACTATCACATCTTTGAAGTAAACTGGAGAGAAAAACTGAACTGTGTTATTCCTCAAATATTTCCTTGAATAAAAATATAATTAAAAAATTTGTATTATTTCCTTGAATACGGTTTGAACTTTCTGACACAGTGAATGCCCTCACACCAGAAGCCTTCTTGTTTCCATCATGTCCTCCTGGATCAGCTATAAACCTGTCCAGCCTGAGTTCTTAATGAGAAAACTGCTGAGAAACTTTAAATACTATTGACATTCAGTCAGCAGCAGCCATGAAGACAGAGAAGTAAATGAGCAGACATGCCATTAGCCAACAAATATGTTTTTGTTAGCAAAGAGTTTTCATTTTAGGCTGTTGGAGAACATGTGATGACCAGCCTATTGCATCATATGATAATGTGCATGTTCCCCAGAATTTTACCTAGTTTTCTGGCAAGAACTATATATTTTTTTTTAAATAAGAGACCGGCCTGCTGCTCACAACATGCATTTTTTTACTGCCTGAATAATATATTTTTATCCAATTACCTGATAAAAGGTGGGCTATTAGACCAACTTGCAACATCATCTCAGCTTCTACAGATAGAAGAAATGACTTCTGCTTGGTAACACATGAAAAAACTACAGGTGTTAATCTCTCAAAAATCTGTTCTGAAGACAGTATTCACCATTCAGTATATAGATCACATCATAGTCAAACTTTCCACTAGAGGACACTACAAGACCTCTTTCACAATTTAAACCCTGCTCAAAGTTGGCAAATGCAACCTATATGACAAATGATGCCTACTGGACTATTTGTTTATGTAGGTCTATGTCACTTGTCAAGAAGGGCAAGTAGTTGTCATGTGGCCTTATAAGCACTGTGCTGGGTCGCTGACTTATGCTAACCATACACTAGAAGACTTTGAAAAGACCTTTGAAAGACTAAAGTCTGACTCCCTCTTACATCTAAAGACAGTGTTGCGTTTTTTAGTCACAGAATATGATTTTGCAAAGACTAGGAATCTTGCAGTGTCACTATTTACAAGACCGCAACTGAAACAATGCCCCATCATGCACCTGGTGGAAATTTACAAGCAGATAAACAGATGGGAAGATACGTTGGCTGGGTGTGTAAAGATCTGGGGCTCAGAGCAGTTCACTATAGAACTGGGTACTCTGGCAGATCATCACCCAGAATCTTTTAATTAACCTGAAAAATGTGCAGTTACTTTTTTAATTTGATATAAAGATTTACACATCAACACAACATGCAGCGGTTCAGCATTGTCCACTGGGTGTCATGAACTAAACCATAAGAAACAAACAAACAAAATAAGAAACCAGTGTAACAGAAAACAGAAAAAAATCGAAAACAATTGATGACTCTTTAATAATGGCATTCTTAAAGTCTTCTGCACATTTCCTTACGTGTTACAGGCTCAGTGGACCTGAAATATTAAAACAGTCAGTTTACATTTGAAGTTAATATGATTATTGTTTTACAGAGATTTCAGGCAGTCATCTCTCTCTCTCTCTCTCTCTCTCTCTTACGATAATATTAAACACGATTGATTTTGTCGCAGCGTCAAGACGAGAAGAAGACTGACTTAAGACCTCCATCTTGACCACCTTATACCAAACGATCGAGATAGCGCGACGCGACTCTAACAAGACTCTCGTGGTTTTATTCCGACATGGGTATTTGTCTGCAACAGTGAAATCGCTTGAAAAGTCGTTTGGTGTAAGGCCGGCATTAGTAAACTGCCTATTATTTCAGACATCTCCTCTTCCACTCATATCATTGAGTCCTACCACCTTCCAAATTCCAGTTTAATCCCTGGCTGCAATCATAATATGGACTCTGTGTTTCTGTAAGACATATGAGGACAGAAGTACACTAATATGAGACTGACACTCCCCTTAGTAATAGCTTTTTGTTATTGAGTAACATTGTTCTGTATTAAATAACATGATTTGTTATTGAGTAGCACTGAGGCTGAGATGAGCATTTCCAGTGTATTTCTCTGTTTTCTCCTGCAGGCCTTTCATCGTGATGCCTCCGCTGATGGAGTGGATTCGGGTAGCTGTAGCCCACACAGAGCACCGGCGCAGTTTCTCCGTCGACAGCGATGACGTCAGACAGGCCGCCAAACTGCTGCTGCCCGGAGTGGACTGTGAGCCACGGCAGCTCAAGTAAGCTGTGAACACATCTGCACAGACACATACTGCATAACTAGGATATTATGAGCCCCAGTGCCAAAAATTAAATATGGCCCTGATATTAAAATGAGCTTGAGTGAATTTAAAAAATGACTGCTTGTTTGTTTACCTACTTTTGCCTCAGTCGAGTAGAAGATCTAATGTAGGCGAAAGGATGAAGTATATTGTTAAAATAACTCAGCTAACCGTGCAGGACCTGGTAGACCACCAGAACTGTCCCATCAGACAAACAGTACTTAAGCTTTTATCTTTGAGAGAGAGGAGAAAATCAAGCCCCACTCAAGCCCTCCACAGGTGTTTCTGTCCTTCCTTCCACTATGAGAAGACAACTCAACACTATGGGTCTGAAAGGATGTGTAGCTGTCAAGAAGCTCATACTGAGAAAAGCAAACAGACAAAAAAAGAGGTAAATTTGCAACTCAAGCAAAGAAGCTCCTAGTATTCTAAGAACAATGGACTGACCACCCCAGAGTCCAGACCTCAACAAGATTGAATGTGTTTGGGATTACGTGGACTTTGAGAAACAGAAAATGCAACTAACAAGTCTGAATTTTGGAAGTGTTGAAGAATACCCATGCAGGAAAAGAATAGAGGCCATAATAAAGAGTGGACACTATATTTGACTTTATATTCAGTTTTTTGAGGCTTCTGTGTGATTTTCTGTTAAATATGTTTTTTCTGATTGTGTTCCTGAAGGTATGTAATAAATTGTGTATAATTTGTAATTAATAGTTGTTTTGGACTTTGACCATGTGAACTTGTGAACATTCAATATGCAGAGGATGTGTTAAATTATTTTCTTAGAAAATTAACCAAATATGATTTTACCGGGGTGCCCAAACTTTTGCATTTGACTGTATGCAGGCATAGACATGCACACAGTGTAAACTTAGAGTGAAAGATATATCCAACCATATCCACAATATCACACCAACACAACGTGAGCTGCATTGCCAAAAAATGTATGCAGCACATGTATGTGTTATTTTAATTGTGGGTTATACTGTAAGTCAGGTCACTATGTGGGAAAAAGAACAAAGGCTGCTGTCGTTTGTTTAGTGTGGAAGTTAATTAAATATGCAGTCGTCAGGTGTGGAAAAACAGTTGTTCTTGCTTGTATGCTCAGGGCAGTTAAAGGCATAATTAAGTCTTGGAAGTATTTTAAAAGCTTCAGGTCTTAGTTGTTCCAATGTTTGGAACAGTTCTAAATCTTCTCATGATGCCAAAATCTCTCCTAGAAGAAAACACAACCTGTGCTTTGTGGTCATCAGTGGTTTCTGCCTTTCCTCTCTGTGATTATGCACTTCATTTATAATCATAGAGAATAATAGCAGAAATCACTGATGACTAAGAAGCACAGGATTGCTTTGGTCGAGTTTGCCAAAAAAGCATCCGGATGATAAATCAGTGATCTACAGCAACATCCGTTCTGTTATATCTGATGAAAAGCAATTTCAGCAGTTAGAACACCAGTGGTGGTAAAGGTTCACGGAAGGGAAGCTGAAGCGTAGCACTGAAAAACCCACTGAATTTTACACCAAACTCACCTGCCAGGACAGGGTCTGAAATTACTGGTTTATATAATAAAACACCAAATACCATGGAGCTGTGCATGGAACTGGAAATTAAAACTCGAGTTAGACTCAAGTCTGAGTCCTGAATTCAAATGCTACACTGGCTTTTCACAAACTGGTTGTTTCCTTACTTTCTTTAAATGAAAAAAAAAAAAATTAAAAAGATGGTTCTTCGAGGATTCTTTAAGAAAGAAAATGATTCTAGGTAGAACCATGAACAATTAAATAACCCTTTGCGTGATTAAAGGTTTATTTGCATCGTTAAATGGCTTCAGATTGATGGAGAATGTGTTTTATATGGTTTTATACATCCAAACATTTTGAAATGGGTTCTAGGTAACACCAAAGAGGTTCTTCTGTTGTTACAAGATAGACATCATGGTCTCACTTTATGTGGATAGTCCACTAAAGTCCCATATAGATTATCTATAGATGTTCAAATTGTTAACAAACTATCTGTTGAAACTCAGTAGATTCTAAACAGTGGTGGGGTTTGGGTTAGGATTTGGACCAGGGTTAGGGCTAGGACCAGGGTGAGGGTTGGGTTTAGGTTTTGGGTTGAGGTTAAGTTTAGGGTTAGGATTAGATCTAGGTTTAGAGTTAAAGAAAATGATGGTCAATTTAGTAGATATTTAGTTGAATATAATGTAAATAAAGTGTCTGTAAACCATCTAAAGTGGACTATCCAATTAAAGTGTTACTGACATTGTAACAGTAGAAGAACCCTTTCTGGTGCTATATAGAACTTTATTCAAAAAGCTTCGATATAGAACCATCTACAGCACAATCTCCATCAATCCGAAGAACCCTTTAATGATGCAAAGAACCATTCAATCATACAAAGGGTTTTTGAGTGTTCATGGTTCTACATAGAACCATTTTATTTACTAAACTTTACTAACTAATTTTTAAGAGAGTAGTTCAGACTACGCTGTCTGACTGGTGGAATAAGCAAGTAACAACGATGTTCACTATACTCTAGATGTTGCCGGAACTGCTTTTCTGGCAAAGAAGTTGACAATATTTTAAACATATTTGAATCAATGTTCAGGGCTTCTTTGCTTTGTACTTTCTGGCAAACAGCCCAGGCAGTAATTTGGGGTAGAAGCTTTAGAGTATTTTTATCTTGAGCCTATTTTTTATCTGTCATTCTCGAGCCTATTCTCTGTCTCAAGTTGTCCCCCCCGCCCCCCTTCAAAAAAAAAGCTGAAGCTAGGAAAAGGAAGCTCCTGAGCATTTTTCTGTTGATCTTTGTTTTCCCTAAACTTTCTGAAAATGTCTTCTTTGTTTGAAGATGCTGTTTTAGCGTCCCTCTTTGTTTTAGTTTGGCCTTTGCTCCTCCCTTTGTTTTATTTCCCACCTTTTTTCTCTTTCTTTGTTGAAAGCCCCTCAACGCTGTGTGCATCATCACTGCAGTGGTGGTGCAATGGTTAAGCACCTACCCCAGTATGAGATTGCAGATTTGATCCTTGCTTGTAGCCCCTTGTTTCTTTCATTTAGTTTCTATTTCTTGAATTGCTCTGCACTTGGATCTAACTCCTTTTAGCTATCTGAAGCCTATTTATAACCATAATTGTCAAGATCTAAATTAGGTAGATGCAGTTTGTGCATACGAATGAGGTTTTTAAGTAATTATTATGAAAACCTTGTTTAGTGACATTAGCAGAATGATTATGGAATAAGCATTGAAAACTTTACATCGAGTTTGTCTTTTCTTGTCTGCTTTATTCACAAATCATCAGTAGTGAATAAATGCAAAAAGGAAAAAAAAACAACTGTCCAGTAGAACAGAGTCAGCATTTTTCAGTTTGTAAGTCAAACAACTTCCTTGTGTCTTGTCACTTTAGAGCGGACGACTGCTTCTGCGCCACGCGGAAGCTGGATGCAGCCTCCACAGAGGCCAAATTTCTGCAGGACCTGGGCTTCCGCATACTCAACTGCGGCCGCACTGACCTGGTCAAGCAAGCGGTCAGTCTGCTCGGACCTGATGGCATTAACAGCATGACCGAACAGGTGAGAGATGCTAATACTCAGGCACAATCCTTAATTACGGAAACCCAAAAAATACTGTACAGCTCACATTTGCTCAAATTTTGAATTAGTAATTATTAATATTTTTTTTACATTTTGTGAAATAATAGGAATGTACATTCTGACGAATTTTAATGTTCAAGCACCTAATGAACAGATTTTCGGTTATCCACAGGGAAGGAACCCCAGTAATTATCTTTTGTATTGTAATTATGCAGTCATGACAGCATACAGAAATCCACATGTCTTATGAGTTTTAAAAGCCATTCATTTTACATGAAAACTGTGATAGCTGACTGTGGAGAAACAAATAAGCAGTTATTGTGCATTAAAAAGTGCAGAAGTGTGTTCTCTGTAGAGGATGTGTTAACTTATTTTCAATTACAACATCAACAAAAGGTGTCATTTGATTGGAGTGCCCAAACTTTTAAATGCAACTGTATTACTCCTATACAGCAGCTCTCACACTACCCATACTCAATCATTATGTTCATACTGGATCTTCAGAAATTAGATTACCAGTTCTGCGCTGCATGAATGATGCCTGTTTGCCTATAGAGCACAGAATATCTAATGAACATTGTGAACTGAATGTATTTACACTCCACATTTACATGCAGAAGCAGGTTCTAATCAGGATAAGCCCATCTTACAGTATATAGTGGAGCCACATGTTTCCAATCTCATTTCATCTCTTTTGCAAGCAACTTTTCTGAAGTTCGGTCAGGAAGGCCTGAGGAGAGGGCCGAGCTCTCTATAGAAACACGGACATCCCTCAGATTCCTTTAAGCCTCTGTTTGTGTTGGACTTTGTTACCACTCATGGGTCTAATGGATATCAGTAATCCGTGTCCTCCCTCTGGCTGTACTTTATAAGCCCTTGACACCGCTTTTCTGTCATTTCTCTCAGTACAGTCTGGAAACTTTTCACTCACTGTGTTCATGGTTCATCTCAAGAGTAAGTTCTGGTTTAAAGAAACAATAGATAATCTGTATTCACAGTCAGTATGTGTTAAATCAGGGGTGCAGAGCTCCGGTACTGGAGGGGTTGTGTCCACCACACTTTGGTGATTGACCTGCTCAGACACACCTGATTAAACGCATTTGAATAGAGAAACCATCAGTCTTTCTAAACTTCAGTGTTTACATAGTACATTAACTCTTTTATTTCAAAAGGAAAAGTTACAAAAATGTTTTTTTTTCATGATATGGCCCCTTTAACGTTTTATAAACTGCAAGGATAATTTCGTTTTCCATTATATGAGTCTTTTAACTCTACAGTTTCTCTGTTCTATTTTTACTCTGCTGTTTGCCGTAGTCTAAAGGTTAGTATTTTAAAAGCAAGTTTAAGTATGGCAAACTGAAAAGAACATAATAGAAGCAATTTAGAGGAAATGAACAGTAATTTTGGTATAATCGATATTCACTGTGGCTTCAATTCAGGGTGATCAGATCCATTCTAACCACCCACGGTGAAGCTAAAGATTCAAAAGCTTTCTCGAGTGTTTGAATTTCCGCTGTGCTTTAAAGAGTAATGGCTCTTACTGTGCTTTCTGCTTTGTCATCTCAGTCACCAGAGTAGTTCATCCTAACTGTGAGTGTGTATGTTTGTGTGTCTAGGGGATGACCCTGCTCATGTACGCGTGTGTTCGTGGTGATGAGGCCATGGTGCAGATGCTGCTGGACGCTGGGGCAGATGTCAACAGTGAGGTCAGTATTCATCAACTGGGGGGGAGCTGGTCAGTATTAAATAGTATGCAGTTTGTCTTTGCCCTGTACTGTTCTAGAGTAAAGACTAACTTGTGCTGTCGCACTTTGTCTCTCTGTGCTCTTCCTATGCTATCTGCATGCACTGTAGAAAGTGTGAGTGAGTGGTGCCGCTTTCAAAGTGTGTCTGCTTAAATCTATGCGTACTGTCTGCCTATGAAAGAAGTGTCATTTCTTCTTTTGTTTAGTGCATTAATAGTAAGAGAAAATTCCATTGGCATTGGTTTAAAATAGATGCACTAAACTTACCGTGTGGCATTTAGGTCAAAAGCATGAAGTATCCCTCATAGATCTGAACATGATTTTGCCAGAACTGACAGCTCTTAAAACAGAAATATTATTTAAGCACTGGAGAAGCACAAAATACAGGGACCACCATGAAAACCTACCCCTGCAGCTTACTGCTGGTGCTCAGAAATGATTAAAATACACTCTCGAAAATAAAGGTTACTATGTGGTTCTTTTTTTGAACATACAGTTCTAGGAAACAATTAAACTTTATAGAACGTTTACCTTATGTAGAGGCTCTTTAAACTTTAAGTTAAGATCTTTAATAACAAAGGGTTGATCCAAAATCATAGTCGAAAAACAAGACCATGAAGTCAAAATACAGAGATCCCAAGCAAGACAAAAGGGCAAAGCAAAAATCAAGGTCAGGACAGAAAAACAGGTCATACACAGAAGTAGGCAAACAGACAGAGAAACACTTGGTATGCTCATAGTAGAGACCATACTTCGCAAATAGCTAAACTAAAGCCCGGGCTTAAATACTAAACTAACAAGCACATGGAATGAGGAACAGGTGTGTGTGTAATCAGAAGTCTGATAAAGCTGAGCACAGATAGGTTGACTGGTTGGAGTCCTGAGTCATGTGAAGCAGGGAGGAGTTCTGGGAATTGTAGTTTGAGGTGGCTGTGTTGGGTGTAGATCCAGCCGTGCCAGAGGGAGGCATGACGTGTTTATTCTGCGGCCATCTTGGCAACACCACCAGGCAGTTATTTCCAGCCATTTAAAGGCAGACTCCTCCCTCTTTGAATGGGAAGAGACTCAAAATACTTAAAACTGAAGGTCAAATTACCATTTGAAAAACATATTTGAAATCATTAGTAAAATCTGAAAAGAAAAAACTCATAAAAGTTTGTAGCTTTTGGCTCAATAATGCATAATAAGTGTGGTTTTTGGGTTGTTTGGGCTACTACTCTTGAACACAGATCTTGAAAAAGAGGGAGGGCTTTTCCTGATAGCGACTTATCTTTGGTGCTGATGGCTTTTTATGTCAGTTGCTAAACAGTGCATTTTGGGCCATTTCGGTTAAATTACACATGATTTCTCACTGTTTTGTTTAGCCTACAAATGCATAAAATATTTGTTCTTCTTTTGAACATTGAAAAAATTCAATTTTTGGGTCTGGATTTTGAAAGTTTGTGAAGGTTTGAGAAGGAGGGACTCTCCAATGATGAGAGATGTGCGGGCATGTGCTACTCCAGTGCATTTAAGCAGTTATTGTAGTAATAGAAATATTATTTCACAGTAGAACATGCTTCATGCATTTGACTCTGAACTGAGTCAAGTAAGGCTCATATACGTTAGAGTTTGTGGCGTCTTGTGGAGAGAGTGACTCTTGAACGAAACACCAAGTGCATGCTCAGTGATGTGAACTTTCGTGTCTGACAATTCATGGAGTGTTGTAGGGCCAGAATTATCAGACAGGGAATGGGTTGTGGTCTGACTTTTGCATTTCAAACTGTGTTTTCAGAATGTCAGTTTTGGTATCCATTTAGACTCTTCCTAAAGGTCATGTCTGTCCAGTCATTCAGAGATATCTGCCTAATGTAACATTACACGAATAGGTGTGGATATTTCTGCCCAGCTCGAGGAGGAGGCTGTTAAGGCCAGACGAGTCGATCGCACAGCGTTTGGCGCTTTGCTCATGAGTCACCACTCGCTCAGTCTTCCAGCGTTTCGCGCTCCTTGCCAATTATCTCTCCTGCAGCCTGTCTGTCGCTGCCTTTAAAATTCCAAAAGAACCCACCAGTGGGAGAGTATGACACCCTCAGATTATGGTCAGATGTTTAACTGAAGCAGTGAAATATGTGGGAGTTAACATAGGAAACACAAAGCTGGCTACCGCCATGAGGTGGGTTTATATAATGGCAAATAAGACAAAAAGAAAGCAAAGAGCGAAAAAAGAAAAAGCAAAAAATATCTGTCTTTTCTTTAAATGTCCAGGGTTAGCAGAAGGGGCATTTGGGGAAAAAAACCTGGCTCCAATTTTTTTCCGCTCAAACACTTCACTCACTCATTCCTCCCCTATATGACTTCCCAGGTGCCCAGCTCAGTACACAGGCACCCCTCAGTTTACCCCGACACCAGGCAGGGGACTCCACTCACTTTCGCCGTGTTGCACGGACACGTCCCTGTCGTGCAGGTAGTGACGACGTGAATGATTCGATGCCTTTCCACCTCTGCACTCTCTCCTTCAATTATTATTATGCTCTAACATAATAATAATGGCAACAAAAACAAGGCCCTCCCCCTTAGGCTGCTGTGGCCTGGGTGTTTGGATGTTCCCCTTCAGGCTAGATTCCATGGGTAGATTAACTTTGGTCAGTTTAAGAAAGCTAAGCTAGGTTGAATAGGTCAGTTAACATACTTCTGTTTAGTAAACTTAGAGTAGATTGAATGGGTCAGTTAACATGGGTCAGTTTAGGAAAGCTTGGCTAGATTGAATGGGTCAGTTAGCTTGGCTCAGTATGGGAGAGCTACACTTAACTTGAAAAAGTTAGTGTTCGGCCTGCCTTAAATTTATGACTATAAACATTCATGCAGCATGATAAAGCTAAAGCTATCTCTATATTTTCCCCATGTGAAGAAAGTTCACATATTAAATTGCCCTCAGCAGCTATGAGTGTTCATTGTGATGAACCACCAAGGAGCAATTTGAATCCCCAGACATAATGGAAAGGCATAGCAGGAAAAGCTTTCTTCTGAAAGCTCTTGGATCTCTGAAGAACATACACACTTGGGAGTGCTTGATCTTCCAAGCAAACAAGAACACAGGACATACATTGCCATTGAAATGAAATGCTCCTCTTTGGCTTCCCTTGTATGAGTAATCCCTCAAACTGAAGGCGTTTGCTTTATGAAGCAGGTAATTGCTTTTTTCAGTGTTATTTTTTTCTTTCTTGACACTTGGTTTCTTCCCCTTTAAGCACTGAGTGACAGAAAGTAAAGCCAGATCACTTGTCTAGCTTGTCACCTCACTTGTCTAGATAGCGGAAAGCATGAACGAATGCACAGCCCAGCTACTTAGGTCATCAGTCAGCTCAACAGTAAGCTTAACGTTGGTGTGTTTCATTTTGTAACAGTGTTTTTCTCTATTATGTTCTGCTTATCTCAGCTGCTGCTGGATGCTCGAGCCAATGTGGAAGGGGCACTGCAGGATGGAGCTGAGAACTACACTGAAACACCACTCCAGCTAGCCTCCGCTGCAGGTAGCACAGTAAGCCTCACTCATGTGAACCATAGGGCATTTCATCAACACAGAGGAGTTCTGCTGTATTATGTGTTTTATAGCTGAGGGTTCTCAGTGTCAGTTCTCTTATGATGCACCTTTCTGGATCATTGAAAGTGGGCATAATTAGCTTCAGAGGTCTGTGGGGCCTGTTTGAGTGAACCTTTTGTGAAATTGGAATGTTAATCATTGACCCATTGGTTAGTCTTACAAGGGCCTTGACAACCACATCAAGCTGTACCATTTGCCCTGGTGAGAATGTAGGTTTTATGATGGCTTTTAAAGATAGTTATGTATCAGCTGATTCTTCGCCATTCATGTGAATCTTTGCCACCTTGTGGACTTGACAACATAAGTACTTTTTTTTTTGACTCAAAACAGTTTTGAGGTGAATTACCTGGGGATGTCCTTATGATTTTGGGTGAAATCCAGGATATTAATCCAGTATGAGTCTGCAGTGACTGTTGTTTTTACAGTTATAATTCCAGTGACAGTGAATGACCTGTAATTTAAATAACTTACAGAATAGAAATCCAATTCAGCTTGATCTTAAGGTAATACAATAACAAAACCTGGTAAGGGATACTATTGTTATTGGACAACCCCATTCCTAGAAAAGTTGGGACGCTGTGCAGAATGTAATAAGAATAAAAATAGAATGCAATGATATGCAAATCATGTAAACCATATTTTTAAAGGAAATACTACAAAGGGGGCATGTTTACCACTGTGTTTCTCTTCTTTTAACAACACTCTGTAAGCATTTGGTAACTGAGGAGACACTGCTGTAGTTTTGAAAGTGAAATGTTTTCCCATTCTTGTTTGATATAGTATTTCAGCTGCTAAACAGTTTGGGGTCTCCTTTGTCATATTTTTCATTTCATAATGCGCCAAATTTTATCAGTGGGTGACAGATCTGGACTGGAGGCAGGCCAGTTTAGCACCCGGACTCTTTTAATACAGAGCCATGCTGTTATAATACATGCAGAATAAGGTTTGACCTTGTTTTGCTGAAATAAGCAAGGCCTTCCCTGAAAAAGACATCATCTGGATGGCAGCATATGTTGCCAAAACATGTATGTATTGTTCAGCATTAATGATGCCTTCCCAGACGTGCATGTCACCCATGCCATGTGCGCTAATGCACCCATCATGAATACTGGCTTTTGAACTGTGCATTGATAACATGCTGAGTAGCCTTTAGTCCGGAGGACAGTGTCCATTATTTCCAAAAAGAATTTCAAATGTTGATTCGCCGGACCACAGGACACTTCTCCACTTCACCTCAGTGCCTTTTAAATGAGCTCAGGCCCAGAGGAGGTGGCAGCATTTCTGGATCATGTTTATGTACAGTTTCTTCTTTTACGTTTTTGAGTTTTAACTTGCATTTGTGGATGCAGCGACAAACTGTTTTCACAGACAGTGGTTTTGAGAAGTGTTTCTGAGCCCATGCAGTGATTTCCACTACAGAATCATGTCTGTTTTTAATGCAGTGTTGCCTGAGGGCCCAAAGTTTATGACCAGCAAATACAGTTTTTTTTACCCTTGTCCCTTGCATACAGAGATTTCTCCAGATCATCTAAATCCTCCCTACGATGTTCAAAATGGGCATATATTTTTCAAAAAACAATAAAATTTCAGGTTCAACCTTTGATATGTTGTCTTAGTACTATTATCAATGAAATATATGGCTTAAAATATTTTCACATCATTGCATTTTGTTTTTATTTACATTTTGCACAGCATCCCCACTTTTTTGGAAACGGGGTTGTACATCTGGGCTGTCTTTGGTAATTTGGGGATATTACTCTGAAACTTTATCCCATGCAAATCGGCCAGTCAAAATCCCTTACAAATTGCATTACAGTATCTCCTTTAATGCAACCAGTGTTCAAATTACATCCTTCTTTGGGGAAGTGGTGCAGGATGCTCTTCAAAATGTGTCCACATTAGGAGAGGCATACTAGATTAAGTGAGTCAGTTAACATGGTTCATCTTAGGAAAGCTAGACTATATTAAATGGGTCAGTTAGCATGGCTCAGTTTACTTTAGCTTTAGTATCTTGTGGAAAGTGCTGAGATACAAGGCCAGGAGCATTATTAGTAGTTTCCAGCGAACTCAGTGAGGTCTGTAAGAACCAAAGTAGACAGAAATCATGATTTGATTTTGTCTGTTATAATGTACAAACATGCAAACACAGCCTCACAATGTACTGCTGAGTTTTTGGTTTACAGTATATTTGAAATTTACAGTACAGTTAGGAGTGGGGGAGGTGCACACTTTGGCACTGATTTGAAGTTTTAACCCTGGAAAACACACTGAGCATGTCTAATAATGACTGCATCCAAACCCACTGAACCCTGCAATAACAATGATCTCTCAGTCAGACACATTCTATTATGTGCACTTTCACATTGGCCAACTTATATCTCACAACATTAGTCCACTCGGAACAATCAATCTGATCAAACACAGTAATTACACAATCATGCGAAAGCTTACGGATCCCTTCAGAGATCAAATAATAAAAGTACATATACAACAGGCTACAATACAGCATTGTGCACCACCATAATAACCAGGACAGAAGTCCAAATTTTGCTTCTTTAGTTTATAACTCAAGCTATGACACTGATGTTCCTAACAAACACTATAACTCAGTAGTCACCCAAATAGCCTGTTTATGGAAAAATACATCAACAAATCTTCTCTCAACCTGCTAAAACCACATACAGGTCTTCATTAGAGTCGCACAGACTTGTCAGTGTGGTTTAGGGCACAGTATGCTTTACTGTGAGCTATACAAATAAACTATAGGCAGCCATTTCACTCAACACCAGGGCTAGTATTCACAAAGCAGGACTGATCTTGGATTAGATTTCTCTGTATTTATGATGGTCATTGTCACAAATACTGATTCTGGAACACTCCTACTCCAGAGGTGGTTTGCAAATACAGACCCTCTTGTCTAAAGTGGCTGCTTGCAGTTTTTTTCATTTTTATATTTTACAGTCCCACTGTGCATTAAACCACAATGGCAAGTCTGTGTGACCTTAACAAAGACCTGGATACTGTCTGAGCAGGTGGAGAGATTTTTTGTGGATATAATTTTACAGAAACATTTTGAGCTGTATGAGTGACTATTGAGTTCTAGTATTTGTTTGTGGCCTCTTGGCTCCAAGTTTAGTTCTAAACTGAAAAACGAACATTGAATTGCTGGGATGTAAATGTGTCATACTGTAGAAATGTTGTGCACGCAAGCCTGTGTCTTTTACACCACACCACAATATGTAAACTTCTTCCAAGGTCCCCTAGTCATGAGGCATTGAGTGCTTTGATGCGACGCTCAAGCAAATGCTTCCATTTGGAAACACTTTTCTCCACATTATTCTGTGTGGATGTGCACAGGATGAGCTGCTGTTTCGCATTAACAAAACACTCGGCAGGAGGCTGCTGGAGTCTCCACAGTGACACTAAACTGACCTCAGGGACACGCAAGATAACCTGAATGAACTTGGCCGGATGTTAGCTATGTTTATGGAGCAGTTACATGCCTATAGCCAGTAAGTTTTCCATCTCAACTAACTGTAATATACTGTGCTATAGTTCTCAGCACGCACCATGAACCTAGAGGGTCTATAGGTTTTCAAAAACCGTTTCCATTTTAATTTGCTTCAAGGCCAAGCTTAATGTATCTGTAGAAAACCAGCTTGCATTGCAGTTTGATGGACAGTGGTTTTGCAAATGGCCTGCAGCTGAATGAACATATGCCACACTAGAAACTAGCTTGTAATATCAGTGACTATGAATTTTTGGCAGCAGGTCAACTATGGACGTCTCCCTCTGTCTATAAATAAAAAAAAACTTGTTGAAATAACTTTGTGGTGATCATTTGCATATATCAGTTCTAAAAATATGACATTTTGCAGATGTCTGTACATCTTGTCAGCTAATTATCAGATCCTTCATGAGTTCAGTGGTGATAAAATGTAAAATTGTCTTGTTCTTCACATCTTGTTCTTAACTAAGCTTAAAATATCGCAGTCTATAATCTTCTTGTGACAGCATCAGTGAGCTACCCCATGGTGTGAGGCCTTGATTGGCCAAGGCCCTTGAATTATGTGAATATGCAAATTAGAAGTAAAAAAAAAAAGAGGATAAATGATTGCCAACATTCAAAAAGATGTTGAAAAACATTGAATTGGACTGGGCCCAGTTTCTCTGGGCATGATAGTGTTATATCAGAGCGTTTACACTGAATTGTTAAATAGCCCGTGTTCCACATTTTCTTGTATTTGTATTTTCCACTTATGACATTTGTGTGGTTTTATGCACCAAAAATAGTCATGATGCATATTTGCATGACCATTTTCTAACCTCTTTTTGTCCTGTTTTTGTTATTGTGCCTTTAAAGGGGAGTTCCACTGATTTTTTCAAAACGTCTGAACTATTAAATGGTTAAAATGTAAACAGAGTCATTCAGAGTGGTTTCATATAGCTTCAGCAGCTTTGATGTTAATTTATTCTATGGAAGTTGTAACATAGTTATGATCTGCAAATGACACATAACAAAATAACTTACAGTAAAATATGTTTAATTATAGACAGAAATCCAAGGCTTTAAGGATGATGAAACAGCATGATGCCTAGGAGCTAATATAGAATAAAATGTTGCTAGTGGTCAGTTACTAGATAGTCTCATTCATGTTTCAGAAACTTTTATATGCTCATGTTTAATCAGCCAGAGCACTTTTGTCAGCTACCTCTGATTTGCATTTCAGCAGCACAGCTAAACAGAGAAACATTAGTAACTCACATTAGGTATCTAAATTAAAATGATGGGAAATCTGAGGGATATAAGGCTTTGTTACAGAATACAGCATAACAGCAAATAACAAACTCTAGTTTAGGTCAGAATGGCCCTTTGACTGTGCTAACGGCAATCATTATAAACTTCTTGAGAAGCTAAACATTTTCAACAACATTTAAACAATGAGCAACAAAACAGTTCATCACAGATGTTGCCTTTCATACCTCAGTAAAATCTAAGCTAAGAAGCTCAAGGTGGAATACCACCAATTTTCCCACTGATTGATTTCTGCATAATTACATGGTTAAGATGTAAACAAAGTCATTCTGAGTGGCTTGATGTGAAATGCTTTGTGCTGGAGAAACTTGCTGAGTCAGAAGGAGCCCGACGTCTGAAGAGTTTAATGCATCTAGAAGCTACATTGCAGCACCCACTACAACACCTACATGAAATGGTTATGAATGGTTACTCTGCCTCATGTCTGGAAGGAAGAGATGAAGGTGATTTTGGGAGGAGATGTGGGCTGCAGCTAGGTGTGTTCAGCAGGTGAAATGCACTGACAGCAAGTTGCAGAAGGAAGAGGCAGAGGCGGTGGAGCCTATCCTTCATGTGAGGATGCCATGGCGAACAACACAAGGCTAATCCTCTGCATTTCACGGACTAATTTTAAAGGGCAGGGCTGGGTTATGCTGGGTGTGATTGTAGCAAGTTTCAGGAAGCCTAGAGAAAACAGAGGGAGAGCTAAAGCTAACAGAGCTATAAGCCAGGGCTGTTTTCCCTCCTGTATTCTTTATTACTATTATGAAGTGACCCTTATTAGTCCCACAACAGGGAAATTTCACCTCCACATTTGACCCATCTATGCAGTGAAACACCACATACACACTAGTGAGCGCACACACACTAGGGGCAGTGAGCACACTTGCCCGGGCAGCCCTATCCACAGTGCCTGGGGAGCAGTTGGGGGAGCAATGATTTGAAAATAATGAATGCATTGAATGCATTGTTGTCTGTCAGAAAGGTAATTTTGGGTCCATTTTTTTTGGTCCAGATGAATGGAGTTCTTGATGATTGGTCAATGGCCACCCTGTTTCAACAAGACTGCAACGTCAGCAAGGAGGTGGAGAAGTGATGATTTGAGCCGGAATATTGGTAAGTGTGATGTTAGGTCCCTTAATGGTCCCTGCAAGATATGTCAAGTTCCTAAACAACCATTTTCTGTGATGGTATAAAAAGAAGAGTCAGGCATTTTTATGCAGGACAGAGTACCATCCCATGCTGCAAAAATTGACTCCTTTGCTACTATGGGCATAAAAGGAGGAAAAATCATGGTCTGACCACCATCATCCCCTGACTTCAGTCCTATTGAGAACCTGTGGAGCATCCATAAAAGGAAGATCTATGAGGGCGGGCGTCAGTATAGTTCAAAACAGCAGCTCTGGAAGGCAACACTGGCATCTTCACATGAAATACAGGCAGAAACTATACATGGACAAGTTTAATGGATGAGAGAGTTGCAAGTCATTGTAAAGAAGGATTCATATATATATATTATATATATATATATATATATATATATATATAACTTGATCTGTGAATATCATTTTTCATTTAACAAAGCGAGGTCCATAAAGACATGGTTTGACAGTGGCCCGCATAGAGCCCTGACCCCAACTCCACTGAATACCTTTGGGATGAACTGGAATGTTGATTGCAAGCCAGTCCTTCTTGTCCAAAATCAGTGCCTGACTTCAAAAATACTACTTTGACTGAATGGGCACAAATTCCCAAAATCACACTCTTCAGTCCTGTGGAAAACCCTCCCAGAAGAGTGGAGGCTGCTATGTTATGTTAGCCAAAAAGAGGCAGGGCATCTCCATATTAATGCCCATAGTTTTGAAATAGAATGTCCAATAAGCTTATATAGGTGTGATGGTTGTGTGTCCTACTTTTGGCCATATTGTGTATATCTACCTATTCATCCTACAGCAGTTCAGCTTCACCCATTTACACTGATCTTGTGTTTAATTCTAGGGCATAAAGAGGGGTTGAAAATGGTCATGTAAAAATGAACGACTGTTTTTGGTTCAGACGATTGCTTTTCCAATTGTCAACTATATAAGCTTTCAACCTGGTACATTGTCTAAAATAAGTCTGCCGTTGGAAAATCTACATTAATAATCTTTCATTAATAAATAACAAAAATGTTTTTGCATCACAGGAAATAAACCAGTACAATACAATGTCTTTCAGTAGCTTTATTTGCATTATGCATCACAAAAGCTAAATGTTTCTTAAAGCATGAAGAAATTATTACAACTCATTAAAAAGTTGGCAAACAGAATTTTAGAATCTTAAACCAACTGAAACAAAGAAACCTCTTACACCATACCAAAACACACAGACTATAAACAGTTGTGAATGATATCAAAAAGCTAGTCTTCAATATTGTATCTTGATAATTTTGTAGTTTCTCGCATTTTGAACATCAGTCAATGCAATGATATTGTGTTTTCTCAGTTTTTCTGAGACATAAAACAAAACCATGATTGTTTGGCTAGATTAGCAGTGGGAATGTTATGCCTTGTCATAAAAATTCTTTAATATAAGAAACAAATGAAAATACCAAAAATTATTGATCATTAAGTGAAAACATTTCCAGACATAGCTCATTATCTTTATATGCAGAAAGGCTATTGAAGCCATGCAAGAATTTCAGGCATACTGATCCTCTAGATCCTCCTGTTTTTCCTTGAATCCATCTCTAACAATTTTCTGCAGCTTCTCCGTTTCCTTTGGAGAGGGTGGCGGCATTACTGCCTTCAATTCTTCTTCAATTTGCGCCACTCGTGCTCGAGTTTGCCCATCAAAGTTTTGCTTGTTTCTTTTAACCAGTTGCAGTATACCATCCTGTGCCTCCTTGCAGGCATTTTGCAGTAGCATGCGCTCTTTGGTGAAGTTTGGGTTCTCAGGGTCCAGGGCCATGAGCTTTCCAAGGCTGCTGACTCTGTCCATCAAGTATTTGTTGGACACCTCAGTGTAGGTACCTGAAATCATGTTCACCAAATGGGCAACATTTGAGGCATGAAATGCTTGGGTGTAGATGATGTCTTTGATGAACATACTTGGTGAGTATCTCAAAGAGGAGGTGGATGTCTTCTGAATAGTCTTGGTGAAATCCTTCAGAGAGGTTTCCAAACACGTCTTGATTATATTTGACACCATCTGAAAAAAACGAACCATTTTCTCCCATTGCTCTTTCACTCGTCCCATGGCATCAAGTCCCTTGACCAGAAACTTGATTGTGGTTTCAAAGTCAATCTCCTGAACTTTACAGCTCCTCAGGGAGATAAGGATCTCATTCAGTTCCTGCTTCTTCTTCTCCATGTCATCCACTCGCTTCTCATAAGCTTCCCTCACTTGATCTAATTGAGCTCGACTCTGCTCTATACGGAAACGGGCATTTTCTGTAGCAGTCTTGCTAGCAGTCGTCTTCTCAGATCCACTGGTCTGTGTTCTGCACAGTTGTGGAGGCTTTGCAGTGAAGGCTGGGGTGTTGGTTGAGGCCTTACTCTTTGAGTCAAATATTTGAGCAGACTCTACCAGATTGTGGATGCGTGAAACCAAACTGCTCATTTTGTCTGGTTCACATTTTCCCTGCTCTGCATACCTGGCCAAATCGGTGCAGATAGAGATTCCTTTCTGACAGATTGATAAAGCCTCTTGCCCTGGCTGGCATGGCTTCTGCTTGTTGATAATCTCTTTAATTATCTCAAAGTTCTTATTCTGGAAACTTGAAGTTATTCGTCCACTGCTTTTTTCTTTCAGTGCTTCCCATTTGATTTGATTATTATCAATGAAGTTGAGGAAACTTTGGCTTACTGACAAAATGTGGCTTGAATTGGCGTATACGTTGTTTACGGTCATTGGGTCACATTCTTGCACACTCTGTTCCACACTTGCTCCAGCGTTGATTGTATTTGGTCCAGCAGAAGACGAAAGTGATTTAATTCCATCTGCAATAAAGCCTCCTGTGCTCATATAAGCTACACCAGAAAGGATGGTATTCACTGTGCCTGCCAGGCCCTCAACCAGATCCATCCCAATCATTTCCCATCCACTTGGCAAAGAGTCCATTGCCTCCTGAAAAGACTTCTGGGCATGTTTAAGTTGATCATCAAGTTTCTTCACATGTTTTTCAGCCCTTTCATTGGCTTCCTTTAACACTTTTTCTCTAAGCTTTGCTGTTTCCAGCTTTTGCCTGACTTCCTCAAGCTCCTGAGAATAACTTTGTTTGGCATTTAGGCAAGCCTCCAGAAGCTCTTGAATCAGCATAATGACTTCCATGAACTTCTTCTCAGTGTTCGTTGCCAGCTCCAGACAGTCGTTTGCAATGCTGTCAATATTCTGGAGCTGGTCAGGAAGAAAGCTTTCAACAAGCTCGTCGTTATCTTGGAGAAGAATTTTCACGCACATCTTTATGTAGTCAGGAACGTTGCCTGTGTGTAGGCGAATCTGATCCATGTTCTTGTGGGCCTCATTGAAAGCACCCCATCCAGCATTGCAAACTTGCATGAGACAAGCTCTGAATGATTCTGGGTACCTGATGAATTTGAATCCATCTTTCGGTGGACTTTTGTTGATGGAGAAGTCCACTTTTGATGAAATGAAGACCAACTCTCCCAAAATGGCAATGGAAATTGGACCTGGTGTCAAGTACTCCTCCCAGTTTGCGTAAGGCTGCATTAGCATTTTGGTGTCATTTCTGGAACTTGATGCCTTAGTAATGTTTTGCGTAGCTTTGATGAGCTCTAAGGAAGACATGGTGTGACCCTAATGGAGAGTGATTGAAAAAAGCATTAAAATGTTAGATTTAATAAGCTCATGCAATAAATCTTGGAGAACTGACCTCAGGGTAGGGGAGAGGGGGTTAGTCAGTTTCTACTTAAAAGGGCATTTCAGCCTACAATTAGTTGAATATATGTTTTGATGTGTCACACAGTTTTCTGTAACGTAACATTACACCCCTCAGCCACACTAGTTGACAGAATACATGATTTAAAATCGTTTTCCTGTTTTTGTTAATCAATGTTTTCTCAATACAATACCAAGCATGTATTATGTAATATATCAACCATTACAATACAGTTCCCAATAGAACAATTTACAATACCTGTGGTGTCAGCCAACTGCTAGCCTGTCCTCTGATCTATAGGCTAATAAATACAATCAAGTATTTAATACAATCAAGTATTTAATTACCTCACTCTTAACTCTTACCTACATTGTTGTCAAAGAAAATTCATGGAGAAGACAGTGATAGTACCTTTATTCTGCACAAAATGAGTGCAACAGACAAGATTTTGTCCTTTCACCAAAAGAAAACAATCCAAACGAACAAAATATGTAGATAGCCAGACAGCTACCTTGCCAACTTTATCTTTTGCTTGTTGTACTATTGAAACCATAGTGTTATATGGTCACAATAAAATATTTAGCTTCCTAGCACTAACGTCATCTGCCATTATTTTACGTTCACCAGCTTAATAAATAATTTTAAAAAATTACCCCAAAAATCCACCCAAAGCAATTATAGTTTTTCAAAACTATCTTATATAGTCTTTAAACCAGAAAATCTCACTTCAGAGACTTCCACAGCCTTCCACAGCATCGCTGTAGGGTGCAAGTTATTTGCAATATATTTACATTTTTCATTCTGGCTGGAGTGTCTTTTTAAGTTCTAGTATCAAGAAAAAATGAGACAGGAGTACTTCAACAAATACCCATATTTCAACTTAAATGCTTAAAAATACATGTATGAGATAGGGATGCGAAAACACAACTTCTCAAAGACAAGTGGTTTGTGGCTCAACTTGCCCCAGAAGGAGAACATTAAGCCACCGACTTTCAAGCAAAACACAAATAGAAGTAATTTGGTTCTTCATTAATTATAATTAAAGAAATCATAGATGCTTCCTGATCACATGACAAAACCTGCACAGTTCCGCATACACAGGGGACAGGTCAACTTACCCACTGGGTCATCTATCCTATTCTCCCCTATGTGTGACTTAGAGAATAATTCTACATTTGTGTAAACAATAATGAGTAATAATTCTTAAAAGGTTTTCCCTACAGCTAGAATTGTGCCAGTATTAAAAAATGTTTGTGTATTGTTGGTAAACTGTGGAAACAAAGTCATAGTACAGCTATTCCTGTATTTGAGAATACATTGAAGAAAGCTTGATGGTAACATCAAATTAACATTTTGTATTAAAGACTGGGACATTTATGTTTTAAATTGTGGTGTTTATTTGATGTTACATTCAAGCTTTCACCAATTTGTTCTCCAATAGAGAATCAGCTCAACTAAACACTCATGTTCATTCATGTTCAAACAAATGTAGCACTTTGAAAGAAAGAAAGAGAGAGAAAGAAAGAAAGGAAAAAAGAAAGTGAAAGAAATGCTGGAGGGGCTATGTCAGTGGATATTTGTGAGCAGTTTAGCGATGATTTAAAGAATTAAATAATTTCACTAATTTTACTCAAATAATTAGGATGCAAATAAAGTCATTCAGATTGGTTTGCTATGAAATGCTCAGTTCTAAAGAAACTTTGTGAGTTGGAATTGTTTGCAGTGACTGTGATAAGAACCAGACATCTGAAGCATTTAATGCCTCTAAAAGCTGCATCACCAGACGTTATTCCATGAAATGATAATGAATACAAAACCATTAACGACAGAGATGTATGTGCAGGGTGTTGTGAGCCAAAATAGTCCCCAAAGAGAACGTATTTTTTCAGATTTCTCAATATTTTCCACCCCAAAGCAGTTATAGCTTTTCAGTCATCGTGACCACTAGTTCCTATTACCAGTTGGTAGTTTTCTGTACAATTAAATGAACTATTTCACATAAAACCACTCAGAATGACTTTGTTTAAATTTAAATGACTTCACATGAATTATGCAGATATTTTGTGCTTTTGATTAATTACAGCCTTTCTTATATATGTTGAACACAGTGCTGTATCTGCAAAAGACCTGTAAAAATAACTGAATGACAAATGTGCATAAATGATGAGAAATTAATGGGCTGCATTTCTTGCTGAATGTTTGTATAATGTTCTCACAACAGCACATATGCATTTCAGCAGCCCTCTTCAGCAGGACAAACGCCCTCACAATGCAGCAGCTGATTTATTCTCCTTAAATGAGACTTTAACGGATGTAAAACGCTTGTATTCAAGAGCCAAACTATTTTCTGAATTCATAAACTACATTTAATGATATTTCATTCAGTTATTTCAACAGCCATTTCCAAGAATCATAATGTTGACCAGCTGAACATAGCCACAACCTTTTCCTCCAAACTTTAAACATTTTGTGATCTACTCACTCATGAATGCTTCACATACTCACCTTTGGGACTGGTAAACTTGGCTTTGCTATGCTGTAGGTGAAGGCGAAGTCAGCGTCTGCTGCAGATGTTTGGTGAATGCTTCACTCCGGAACTGCTGCTCTTATACACAACACTGAGCAAGGTCAGCAAAACAGGTGTGAAAACTCTTGCAGATATATTTATCCTTACAAGTTAGAGCCTAAACTGTTCTGGACATTTGTCTTAGCAGGTATCAAACGCAGGTAAGATGCTATACACTCACTATGCACTTTATTACAAATATTTACTTTGTATGTACACTGGTCATTTGATTTATTACATCTACTTCATAGTTCCACTCATAGTTCCATTACTGACTGTAGCCTGCCTTATATCATAATGTTACACATACATATCACTGCTGTCAGAACAAAACCTCATATCTCCATTTTTGTCGTTTTTCAGTTTTTGACATAATTTGAAAATGTCTGTTGTTCTTTACATTGTGTGTAAATTTCATGATGTATGCACCTAAAGAAATGGCCTAAAATTACTTGGAAAAAAGTCTGGTTCCACTGACTTGCGTTTAAGGTTTTGTTCCGACAGCAGTGATATACGTGTACATGTTTTAACTAATTTTCACAAAATCAACAGCATGTAATGTGGTTAAGGGTGATAAAATTTTTGTTGTTGTTAGGGACATTTTGATATGTTTACTTTTTCAATATACTTATATGTGCTAAAAAAGTAATTGCATAAAAATCTGTTTTCTAGCATATTACCCTATTAAAGGGCAATTCCACCAATTTTTTAATGGTTGAGATGTAAATAAAATCACAGAATGTGAGTGTGGCTCTTTATAACAATAGCTATGAATACGCTGCCTAATGCCTAAAATGTTTTTTTTTTGATAGTTTTGTGATAAGCTTTTGGTCTAAAACATTTTTAAATCCATTCATGGTGGAGAGGTAAAGGCAGGGTGTTATAAGGCAAAATAGTCCCGAAAGAAAAGTTCTTTTTGTAGATTTGCCACTACTTATCCATCACCAATATTACATTTTATATAAAAACTCAGATGTCACATGTAGGTTCATGGTCATTTTGGATAGTCAATAAAATGGTTATGCAAGGAGATTCACCTGAAAGAAGCTCCGAATGTTCTGTTGCAACTCATTTTAAGATGAAGCAATCTGAACCAAAAAACTACACGACATATCTTGACATACGTGTAATCGATTGCATTACATGCGATGCTGGAAGTGATCTCCGTTTTCTGCCAGACACGCGAAGGGGTACGGGGGTATGCACCCGGAAGTTGCAAAGGGAGGTTAAACGTCGCGGCAGCTGTCTGGCACCTACCCCATTGCTGCGACACAGGGACATCCCGGCTTGTTCGAAGCTCCATATACTGAGGAGCACATTGCATGTGGTTTCGTTCAGACTGCTTCGTCCTAGAGAGAGTTATTACAGAATATTCTCAGAATATTCACTTTCGAATGAATCTCCCTGTATTTATGTTGTAGACATTGTGACCCCTGGTTTCTATGACCACCACTGTCAAGAAATTTGAATCAGTAAGTTTCTCTGCAGTGAACCAGTTCACATCAAACCACTAACCAATTTTGGTTCCACCTCAACATTTTAATTATGCAGAAATTTTGAAAAATTGGTGGAATGAGTATTTATGCTAGATTTTTTAAACAACATGACAACTTTAAAAAAATCATTTAACATGATGCTTTTTTCGTTTGTGTATAAAATTCATATATGAAACGTGAGTGAGATTTTAAGTTTAAACAACATTTTTTTCCAATTTCCACAGGGTGGACTCATGTCATTCCATGTGGAAAATCAGGGGAGGAATTTTGTGAAGGCAGTGAGTCCTTCACTTAAGAGCGGAATTAGATCTCTCAATGCCTTAACCATCAGCCTCTTAGATATAGATAAAGACCTTATGTATGTGGCCAAAGATGATTTCAAGTTCAGGGAAATTCGGAGTGCTATAGTTAACGCCCAGCAGAAGCTGGGGGAGGCTGAGTCGGCTGCATGCGGGGAACTCAAATTGGTAGATTATCGTTATGAAAAGCTGATGGTTAGAAAGGGGAATCTATCTAGACAGCAGGAAAGCATAAAAAATAATCTACAAAATTTAAAATGTCAGCAAAGAAATAACAAAGCCACTCTAGACATGTACAAAGCACATAGAAACTCTGCAGAGAATCGTCTTAGAGAAGTACGTGAGGAGCTCATGCGTCAGAGGAGGAATGTGGAGGAGGCAGAAGCTCTCAGGGATGCTGGAATTGGGATCACATTTATTCCCATTGTTGGATGGATTGCTGGTAATGTTCTAGTGTCTTTTTTTTCAACTGAGTTATTTAACCTCCCCTACCCTGGAAAACCTTAGTAAAAGTAACCCCAAAATGCAGTCTGTGCTGCAGTATTTGCACTCATCTTCTACAGTAGGAAACTCAAATCAAAAGAATAGCTACAGACTCGTGATCATAATCATAATCATTTTTCTTGCTTCCCACAAAAACAGGTCCAATAATGATTACAGCGGCTGAAAATGACATTGAAAATGCAACTTTCAATGTCGAGCAGGCAGAGGAAACGGTTGGAAAATCTGAGTCCCTGGTGCAACACTACAGCTGGAAAGTGTCTGACTATGAGAGAAAAATCGATCAGACTCGCAATGAGATTTCGAAGACAGAGGATGAGCTGAGGCAGATAGGCTGGGAGATTGACGAGGTCCTCATGCAGCGGAAGAAGATTGCTGACTTCCAGGAGAAGATGAGGAACTCTGTCAAAGTTCTCGGTTGTCTTGCTGGGACATGCAACGTGGCAGAGATTCAAACGCGCTGCTTTGTGTTGCTGGAGGCGATGATGAAGTTACTGCAGGACTTTGTCAGGTTGGCGGAAGGCCTCAGAGAAGATCGCCTTCTCCGGGATGAAGGCATTAAAGCCCTCATCACAAACCTGCAGGTCAACTACATCAAGCTTAAGGCCATCGCTGTGCCTCCTGATACCTCTGCCATTGAAGATTACATATAAATTTTCCATTAATTTTGTGCATGACTTATCTTTACCTATTTCGGGGGTGTGTAGGGGTGGTGGTGAAAAGGGGAATAGCCTTCACAAATGTGTTGTATGCCGACCTGCTAAATGCTTTGCAAAAGCTGTCTTTATACTGAGTGGATATTTTAATGTTCTATTAATAGAGGAGAAGTAAAAATGTACTTCAGTCACAATTAACTATGATCTGTCCTGAATGCTTATGAAATGAATCAGTGATAAAAATATATAAATATAAAAATATTACAAAAAATATGGATTCCAGTGAGATTTTGTATTCACACAACTTCTCCAAACGGATGACACAAGAAGACTAATAAGACTATGAACAAAAGTATAATGAAACCTGAACAGCTCAGGCCTCTAAGAAAAGAGAAATGACAGTGCAATAACAAAAGTAACATCAACAACAATTAAAAAATAATAATAATAATAATAAAAGTTCTAATAGCAGACATTTTTCTACACTTATAATATGTGGTTTATGTACCAAAAACAGTCATAATTCATTCATACGTGGCCATTTTCCGACCTCTCCTTATCCGTTAGAATTAAACAGGCTGTTATTTGGACTTTGATACTGATAAATGTAAACGGGCTCTGTTATGATTGGCTGCTCTGCTGTAGGCTATGTAAATGAGTTGGATTCTGAGAAATCAAAAGAACACTGAATTCAAAACAGGCTGTTTTTCCATTGTAGTTTCCATAAACTTTCAGAAAAAAAAACAAACTGTCACTAGGGTTGTACCCCTCTTGTCACTGGGGTGATACCCTCGAAGGTACGTCTTTAATGCCTTCAGTTAAGGATTATTAATTGTACCATATTCAATTGAAATTATATTTTTCAAGTTGTAATGATTTTACACCCCGACAAACACACACACACAGAAGAAAACATGTGTTTTCATGATATCGGCCCTTGAAAAAGAAGAAAAAGAGAAAGAAGAAGTAGAACATTTTTACTTTGGAGTCACTCAAGTTCCTGGGCACAACCATAACCAGAGAACCAAGGTGGGAGAGGAACACAGTCTCCATAGTCACAAAAGCTGAGCAGATAGCAGACAAATTCCTTCTATGTATAACACACATGGTAACATAAAGTGATTTTGATTCTGAAGAAGAAGAAGACCTATTTTAATCATACTTGGACAGCACAGTTCCTTTCAGCAACTTTAGTCATAAATCTGACATCTTAAGTCCATAGAACAACAACAACAACAGCAGCAGCAGCAGCAGCTCATGCCCAGCATTTTTCCTAATTGTGTTTATATGAAATAAAAAAGAGGTGTTTTTACACAATCTCAATGTTGGCACAATTACACAATAACAAAGAGTTCACCTCCACATAAGAGGTGAACTCCAAGTGAACCCCATCTGAATTTAAAGGAGTGTAAAGCATGGGTGTCACACACATATTCATTTCAATTCATTTCAGCACTACAAAGTGTTCAGGGTGCTAAAACACTGTAAATATTTCTATCAACATAAAAATAAAAGAAGTAAATGGAAATTGAACTTGAGACAGGACCGTTTTTGGATGCCTCTACAAGAGAATAGATAGTAAATTTAAATTTATAAAAATGCATTACACCAGTACATCCTCCATCTTAAGCTGTTGTGTTAGTTTATTAACATGAAACCACAAGATTTAAAGTGAAATATTATTCTCAGTGAAATATTATTCTAGGTAATATTCAGTCTGTTACTTTCAATATTTAATAGGTGATTTAAAACTTAATTGGGCAAATTTTATGAATGCATGACTGGAAATGATTTATTTTTGAAATTGTATATAGGTGCATGAATTAAATAAAGGTTTTGGACTGAGTTTTCATGAAATTCCATGATGTGAGATCATCTGTACATTGGAATGGAACAGCTAATGTACCATTAAACTAGTACACTGTTTGCTAGTTGCTCACTGTGTACAGAAGTGATACACTGTAACATGTAAAACATATGTACCATGGAACTTGCCCAAGTTCATCACTGCTCTGCACACACTTGTTGATCATTCCAGTAAAATGTCCTTGTTGTAAGGTCAGAAACTCAGATTTTAAGGGGACTGACTAACTGCACAATTAGTACTATCTTCAATAGCCAATTGGTAACGGCACAAACTGGCTTCATCAGCAGGCAGTGTTTTCCCCTCAGCTTTTTCATAATGTGCATATTGTTGCTCTTGCAAAAAAATCTTGGACCTTCATGTTTGTCAGTTTTTAATTTTTTTTAATATATATATATTTTTTTAATTTGATGATTAATGAACCAACAGAAATTGGGCAAAATTACTTGGAAACAAAGAGTTCCAAGTAAAAAATCTGGTTACATGAATTTCCATAACAAGTTAAGAATTTTTTCCTTCTCCTGTGAAGTGACCATTTTGGACACACAAGTTTTTTTTCAGACAGTGATGTAAACATCTTTAAATGAAGACTGCTCTTTTATCTTCATTTAGAGTCCTCATAATTACACTGATAGATTATTGTCATTGTGTCAACTGTGTAGTGTAAGCAAAATTTCTGCTGTCATCTTAGTTAATAGGTGATGTTTTGTCTGCACTTTTGTATCTTCTCTTTTCACTTTAAAAGCAGAAAATCTAGTGTGAACCACAAGTGCAGATTACAGTTTCTTAACCTCAGTGAACACTAACAGTGTTACCCAGAAAAACAACAACAGTGTTTCTGACAAACAGGTCTGTTTTTCAGTAATGAAGTGTGTTCCGTATTTAGAAAATGCAAAAAAACTATAGAGAAAAGTCACCATGTCCAATACAGAGTGTTGGCTAGAGAGAAATAAAGCCCTCCAGCATTGGGCTGTGGAGCAGTGCAGCTGTGTTCCCTGGAGTGGAGCTCCAACTAATATCTTTAGGATGTGTAGGAGAGACAGTTGTGATCCAGAATTAAACATCCAGCATCAGCAGCATGATAACATGGATAAAATCCTTTAACATTAACCAAAACATTAGGCAAAATAATAGTGTTTTAATAATAATTTGTGCTTGAAAAAACTCATGTGAAAAGTGTGTAAGATTTAAAATTTAAACAACATTTTTCCCCTCAAATTTATCATTCCACATGGAAAATCAGGGGAGGAATTTTGTGAAGGAGTCCTTCACTTAAAAACGGAATTAGCACTTTCAATGCCTTAACCATCAACCTCTTAGATATAGATAAAGACCTTCTATATGTGGCCAAATATGAATTCAAGTTCAGGGAAATTTGGAGCGCTATAATTAGTGCCCTGCTGAAAAAGGGGGAGGCTGAGTCTGGGGTAGAAGAAGAAGAAGAAGAAAAAGAAGAAAAAGAAGGTTTTCACTGTGGAGTCACTAAAGTTCCTAGACACAACCATATCCAGGGACCCAAAGTGGACTTGAGACTACTCCATAGTCAAGAAAGCACAGCAGAGAATGCTCTTCCTGAGACAGCTGAAAGAATTCAACATGCTGCACAGCCTGTTCCAGTTCTACACAACGATCATCGAATCCATTCTCATATCGTCCATAAACATCTGGTTTGGTCTTTCAACTCAAAAGAACAAGTAAAACTTAAGTGCATATTCAGGACAGCAGAGAGAAACATTGGATGTAGTCTGTCAACGCTTCTGAACATGTACAACAGCAGGGTGATGAAGTATGCTGGCAAACCCTGGCTGACCCCTCTTGTGTTGGACATCACCTTTTCCAACCACTTCCCTCTGGCGGAAGATTCAGGGTCATTAAAACCAGCACAACCAGATATGCTAACAGCTTTTTCCCCAGAGCCACTCATTAACCACAGTGGAGACCTCACAGTTTACACTTCATCTGAAACCAACAAACCACCATTACTGTATAACTGTATGATTCCTAAGTAACAATGCTTATACAACTGCACAAACATTCATTTTTAAATTATGTATCATTGTGTATAATAGTTATGATTAGTTAGTTATGTCTCCTCAGACCTGCATAAGCAAAGACATTTATATATGCATATGAACAAGGCCTAGTAGTTAGACATCTCTCTAATTCTTTGACATTGGCATTTTGTCATACTTTCATATTCTTTATTCTATTTATTCTGCTTTTATTTGATTTGTCCCTTAGTTACAGACTTGTTAGCATTCTGTGCGCTTGTCTGGTCTGTTCAGTATGTTACATGTCATACATGTGTGCACTCACCAAGACAAATTCCTTAGACTTTTTTTTTGTTAGTTTTTACTTTTTTGTCAGTTTTGACTTTTTTGCACAACTTGAAAAATCCAGTTTCTCTCTGCAGTTACTCTCCGTGTTTTAAATTTGATGATTAGTGGACCAACAGAAATGGTGCCCATAGTTACACTGATAGATTTTACTCATTGTGTCAAGTGAGTGTAAGCAAAATTTCTGCTGTCATCTTGGTTAATAGGTGATGTTTTGTCTGCTCTTTTGTATTTTCTCTTTTCACTTTAAAAGCAGAAAATCTAGTGTGAACCACAAGCGCTGATTACAGTTTATTAACCTTAGTGTTAAAGCCTCAGGCAACGTTAACAGTGTTAGCCACCCAGAAAAACAACAAAAGTGTTTCTGACAAGCAGGTCTGTTTTTCAGTAAAGAAGTGTGTTCTGTATTTAGAAAATCCAAAAAACTACAGAGAAAAGTCACCATGTCCAATACAGAGTGTTGGCTAAAGGGGAATAAAGCCCCCCAGCACTCCAGAGTGGAGCTCTATATAACATCTTCAGGATGAGTAGGAGAGACAATTGTGATCCAGAATTAACCATCCAGCATCAGTAACCGACCTCAGTAATGCTCAAACAAATCCTCACAGCAGTGTTCCAACAACTAGTTAAAGCCTTACCTGTAGTGTAGAGGCTGTTACAGCAGCACAGAGAGTAAAAACTTTTAATACCTTTGATATTAGAAGAAACGTTGAATGAACAGGTGTCTACATAGAGATTAATTTTATATATTGCTGTTTGTATTCAAACTGAATTCTAAAACAGTTGGGATATTAGGTAAAATGTAATTCAACACAGAAAGCAGCGATTTTTAAATCTACTTTAACCTGTCTTTGGAAGAAAAAAAGACAAGGCATGTTTTATCTTATGGAAATCATTGTGTTTTTGTAAATATACATTCATTCTGAAATTGAGGCCTGAAACACTTCCCAAAAAAAAGTTGTAATGGGGCAATTTAAGACTGGATGCATTATGAAATATTCAAAGAACATCATAAAAAAAGTAATGTAATTGTGCTTGGGTATGAAAGGATCATCCAGGAAAGGCCCAGTCCTTTTTAAGCAAGGATGGATCAAGGCTCTCCACGCAACTAAAAATGCACCAGCAAAAAAATCCAGTGGTTTAAAAATAACATTCATTAGCCAGGGATTTCAAGGATTTTACAGTGCTCTCAAACATCTGTGAACCTACATAAATGTGGTCTAAAATATGACCGGAATTTGTGATAATAGATAGAGAACCCAATAAAACAAATAACACAAAACATTTCGTTTTTCATTCATTTACAGAACTGCTTCAACTCTGTTAAGTTGGTGGGCTTTCTTGCATGAACACCACTCCTTCCTGTTCTGCCCAACATTTCTATTGGATTAAGGTCTGGATTTTGACTGATCCATTCCAAGCTGCAACATTTCTTCTGCTTTAATCACT